TTTGATTCACGATTCGATTCGCAATTTTTGCAAAATCAATATGAATATATGGGTGAATCTATTTTAGAAGTGAATCTCTAGTGAATCACACGATTCACAATCGATTCACGATTTGATTCATTTTTACAATTCATGCAATTCTTGAAGCTATCGAGTCCGATATATTTTTTACTTTTTCTTTCTCTATCTTTTTATTGAAAATGACATAATACAACTATTAATAGCATAAGTACCAAAATAACCAATATATGTACAAGATTTGTTGTTATTTTAGTGATCATGAAGTTTTTAATATGATCTAATCAGATTTAGTCAGACCCAACATGTCTTTAACCTTTATTCTTATTTTTTTCCTTTAAATAATCATAATATATCTTCTAAAGATGTTTAAGATTAAAGTAACTTACTGTAGACACTCTATTTTTGACCGCCCATAAGACTTGGGCGACTCAGATTGATCACTTGATGATGAAAAAGTTGCGTTGTACAAACGTTCAATTTTGTCAGCAAGGAGCCTCGGTTTTGAGTTTCAAAAGCCTAGAACCTTGCACCACCTTTGGACCAAAACCTAATTTTTCCAAGCTAGACCACTCAGAGGCCTGCTAGCCAACAGGTGGCCGACTGGCCACAAATTAGTAGCTGGCCGTCCCTCACCTGGCCGGTCGGCCGGCCAGGTTTCCCGGCAGAACAGATATTTGTTGTCAACTGTCCCCCTATGTGCATGCACTGCACCAACTAGTTCAATACATATATTTCCATGATAGCAACTTATTTTTCTATATATACTTGACCATACCTTACGTTTTTAGGTCAGAAAAAATTACCAAAGCTCAAATTCTTGAAAATCTCTCTCCCTCTCTATCTTGCAACACACATACACTACCCAAACACTTCCTAGACCAATATTTTAGCTCTCCTTGCTAAGGTTCTTGAGTCTAAATCTTAGCTCTTGAGGGTGATCACTTGTTGGTTTGTAAATCAAAGAGTAACCTCTCTTGAAGAGGTATAACTTCTACCCTCTCTACACTTCTTCCCTATCTTTCCTTGCTATTTTTACACTATTTTTCCACTTCTTTCTCAACTTTTGGTCATTGATTTTCAGAGTTTTAAAAGGTTAAAATATGTGGTTTTGAGGTCCAAAAGGTGGAGGGGTTAGCCACCTCTCCTTAGGCTTGCTTTCTAGCTTTATTTCTCTCTTATTTTAGCTTACTTTTTCTAGCTTTTTCATACTAATTCCAGCACTATTTTTGTGAGTTTTAGGACTGTTTTGATGTGTTTACTTCATTCATGCTTTGTATAGTATGTTTGTAGTGTTGTAGTCCTCATAGATTTGGTGGTTTAGGTCTTAGACACTAACCTATTTGTGTTGATAGCTTTTATTTCCATAGGTTTCATACATGTGCTCATACTTTGCATAATCATCTCTGCAACCTCCCTTCTTTCTTGATTTTCTTTATTTGAGAGTCGTTTCAAGCGAGTGTTGTTTAAAGTATGAGAGCCCGCTTTACCAGTTGCTGGCAAGAAGGTTCGCGTATAGCACAATCACATTCTATAACACCTGCATCTCAATTTCCTTCAATTTATTCTCATATAATTACGTAATTATGTAGTTAATCAACAACACATAAGGTTTCATATCAACCTATTTCACATCAATTCTACAACAAGTAATATCTCATCCACCAATGGCCAAGGACAAAACCTCTAAATATTTAATAGTAATATTATAATTTCTTAAAAATAAGTTAGTGTGATTCTTATAACATTTCCATACCTCAATATTACCAATATTGTCTAGAGTTAGATTAACAATTATATCATCTCGTAATGTCCACAATTGATTCCACTATTTTTAATCACCAAAATTTACAACGTAGGCCAATTTCATGATAATCATTTATTTCATTCTCTCTCTACTTTCCATTTCTAGTTCACAATGATTATTACAATAATTTATTAATTACTTTTTAACTATCACATATTTCAATTTACTAATAACAATACCTAGCTCAACCATTCATAAACATTAACGCTTTTTTGTACTTCATAACCAACAAATAAAAATAAAGGTTTTTTGTTTTAAACTTCACAACTAACTTTTAATAGCATCAATTCATCATATATTAACATCACAAGATCAACCATTTAAATTTCATTCTCTTCCCCTTTCACATTTCTTATTCACAAAAAAATCAACATGACTCAATAGTTATATAAGAAAAAAATCATCTTCTCTTTTCATTCTCATAAACATTAAATTAAAAATTAGGAATTTTTATTTCAAACATCATAAACATGTTCTCTTAGCTTAAAATTTTCATAATCAAGAACAAAATATACGATTAAACTATATGATTCAAAACCCAAAATCTCATCTACATGTATTTCAAAAATCACTTATAAACTCATTTTTTTTTAATTTTTTTTTATGCAATAGAAAGCACCACATATCTATCTATAGTGATATATTAAAAAGAATCAAAGAAATTCTTACCTCAAAATATAAAGAAACGCAAATATGAAAATGCAACGCTTGCCGGATCAAGAATTCGAGACTACCGTTGCGAAAAATATGACGAGCTCTCCAACTTCCCTTTAGAAAGATTATGCAAAATATCACTCTAATGACTCCCACTCTAAGCTCAAAGCTTGAGCAACAATGGTGGAAATTGGGGAGAGAAAGAGAGAGAGAGGAACAACTCTCTGGGAAAGGGCCAAAAAAATGGGTAAATTACACTCATCTCCTCTGAGGTTTTTGACAATTATAGAAACCTCTTCTGTAGTTTCAATAATTACAAAAACTACGCTTACTTTTTTTGACATTATCCAGATTCGTCCCTCCCGTTGATTTAAGCCAAATGGTGTTAACTTGGTTGCGCAAATGACTATAATACCTTTAATTGTAATTTACCTATATATTTAATTAACATTTTATTTCTCACAATTTTTTTATTTTTTATTTTATTTCCTTGACTTTGTATTTTTTTCCCCACTATAAGTTTTGAATTTTTAACTTTCAAAAGTTAAAAAAAAAAAAAAAAAATCAGCCATTAATGAAATTAAGAAAGAATATCCATGTTTCTTATTTGAATTAAATTTGAGATTTAATGTAATAAAAATAATTTAAATGAAAGAAACATAGATGGAGATATAGATTTTAGATGTAATAAATAACAAATTATTTGAGTATTTTATTATTTTTAAATAGTTTATTTCTTCAAGTAAAATTTTGTTTTAATTAGATGTAAGAAATGACAAATTTAAATAGTTTATTATTCTCAAATAATTTCTTTATATTTCATTCCCTATCATCTAATTTTAATTTACTATAATGTGATCAGATATTTTTCACTTTTATATTTATTTTTAAAATTTTTATTATTAAGGTGAGAAATATTGACTTATTTTTTTAATGATAATTAAAATTTGAGAATAATATAGGATTGTGAAAAGATAAAATGATAATTTATATATATATATATATATGACGTAACATTTGGTAATTTTTATAAGTCAATTTTTTTTAGGGGGGTGTTTTTTAAGGTCCATGGTATTAAGATTTTATAGCATAAAGGACACTCAATTTTTTCGTAATATCTAAGGTCCCTCAACATCAATCCAGAGAAAATTCAATCAAGAGAAAATTCAATGCATAGAATTTCTCTGGACACATCACAGAGAAAATTCCAAATTTCTCTGGACACTACTTTGCTTCTTAATATTTGTCCTCCGAGGGTAGTGATATAATCTAAAGATCCAGTACTTATTAATTCAGTACCTATTAATTCAATCTACACTCTGTAATTCATGGACTAAAACATGGATTCCAAATTTCAATCCAGAGAAAATTGAATGAACACCCAGAGAAAATTTCAATCCAGAGAAATTTGAACACCCAGAGAAAATTCCAATCCAGAGAAAATTGAACATTTTAATCTAGAGATCAGTACCTATTAATTTCAATCTACACTCTGTAATTCATGAAGGTAGTGATATAATCCAGAGATCTAGTACCTATTAATTCAATCTACACTCTGTAATTCATGGACTAAAACATGGATTCCAAATTTTAATCCCAAGAAAATTGAATGAACACCCAGAGAAAATCTCAATCTAAAGAAAATTGAACACCTAGAGAAAATCTCAATCCTGAGAAAATTGAACATTTTAATATAGAGATCATTACCTATTAATTTCAATCTACACTCTGTAATTCATGAGAGTAGTGATATAATCCAGAGATCCAGTACCTATTAATTTAATCTACACTCTGTAATTCATGGACTAAAATATGAACTAAAACATGGATTCCAAATTTCAATACAGAGAAAATTGAATGAACACCCAGAGAAAATTTCAATCCAGAGAAATTTGAACACTCAGAGAAAATTTCAATTCAGAAAAAATTGAACATTTCAATCTAAAGATCAATACCTATTAATTTCAATCTACACTCTGTAATTCATGGACTAAAATATGGATTCTAATGACACAACCTTGAGATCCACAGCTTGATGACTGTCCAGGTTGCAACTTCTCACAAATCACAAAGAAAGATTCCATGTATCCGAGGAGCAAAATAATTTTCCCATTAAAGAGAGAGAGACACACACAAAGATAGTGCACTATTTATATACAGAGAAACAGAGGAGCAAAATAGTTCAAACAATTTCACCAGAATCTTACATTTCAACTTCTGAATTGGTTTAATCATCTATTCATTGTTAATTGTTGAACCAGTAAAAATTGTGAACAAAGCACAAAAGAGCCACACCAAAAAAAAGAAGAAGAAGAAGAAAGTGGTTGTTAACAAAGACTACAAAATTCCAAGAAAAGAAAAGAAAAGAGAAGAAAAAAACTTGCAGAAATTAGTAAAATTTGCCCCCAAAAAACAAAAAATTATAGCAATGTGGAAAAATAAAAACCCATTATCAATCATATATACCTGTCTACCTTAAATTCATTTTTGTTGAAAGCATTAATTAGTTTTTGAGATGAGCTCAATAATCAGGCATGAACTGACTAATTTTACCTTCTTCAACAGTTATATTCTGCTCAGAAACTCTCAACCATATACACACAGTACTAAAACTGAGCACCAAGCTCAACAACCTACTTCCCAATCCGATTCCCACAATCGCCATAATTGAAAGGCCTTTACCCTTCAATGGCGGCAATGGGTACCCATATAGATCCTTATTCCCCACATACGAGCTGGTATTGAACCTCACCAAATTCCCAGTCCGGTTCCCCAGGGCCATCGGACTCGGACTCGCCAACCGGCTATTCAACACATCGAAAATCGATAATAGCACCAGAAGCCCCAGTTGCTCTGAAATCGAACCCGTGAGAAGATTATTGCTGAGATCGATGACGTTGAGGTAGGCGCAGAAGGCGATTTGGAGTGGGATTTGGGCGGAAAGGAGGTTGGAGGAGAGGTTTAGGACGGTGAGGTTGACCAGGAATTGGAGAAGAGGAGGTTACAAGAGAATCAGATTGTGTGGGATTGGAGAATTTGCTTGGAGGTAAAGAAATGGGGAAAGAAGACAGCAGACAGGTTGAATGATGAGAGAGAGAGAGAGAGAGAGAGAGAGAGAGATGAAATAGAGAAGGTAGAGAGAGAAATGAGGTTTGATAGAATGAAGATCATAAATAAAGAGAGTCAAATTTCTCTGATATGATATATAGGTGTGGGTTTAGGGACCTTAGACATTAAAAAATAATATTGTGGATCTTTTCCATTACTAAAAATTGGATAGGGACCTTAGACTAATTTTCTCTTTTTTTTTTATTATAAATATGAAATGCTATTATGTTTATTTTTCTTAAAAAAAATTAATACACAAATATGTTTACAAAACAAAAGAAAAATTTATATTTCGTAAATTGCTATGGTATTGGGTGATGTTAGCAAACATTGATGAAAGAGAAAAAATGATGAAAAAAATTGAGAAAAAAACATAGAGAAGTGAACAAATAATAATAATAATAAATTATATGGTGTTACTTAGGAATGGCAATGTTCACAACAAAAACTAAATATACCTTCAATCTTTTTTCTTTCTTTTTAAATATATTTAATGTTAACAATTTTTTTTTTTTTAAGGTTCACAACAAAAACTAAATATACCTTTAATCTTTTTTTTTTCTTTTTTAAAATATTTAATTTTAAAAAATTTTTTTTTTTTTTTTTTTTTTAAGGTTCACAACAAAAACTAAATATACCTTCAATCTTTTTTCTTTCTTTTTAAATATATTTAATGTTAACAATTTTTTTTTAATTTTTTTTAATTTTTTTATTTTTTATTTTTTTTAACAAAAAAAATATATTTAGCTTTGGTAAAAAAAAAAATTTATATATTGGATGAGTTACCTACTCTTTAAAATCTATATATTTAAATTATAACCAAAACTAAATATATATTTAATTTAATTTTTTTTTAAAGATTCACAACCAAAACTAAATATATAAATTATAACAAAGTCAGAACCTTTAGTTCTTCCAACCATGCAAGTTGCTACAGGCCATTATGGCTATAATTTTAACTTTGCTACTGACATTCACTTATCATAGGTCACAATTCACTTTTACTTTTCCGGTTGCTCAACAGTCAGGGTTTCAGAATATTCTGGCTATTTGGTGCAAATTATCTAAGCTGCTTATAGTTTTTCTGTTTGCTCAACAGTCAGGGCTTCAGAATATTCTGGCTATTTGGTGCAAATTATCTAAGCTGCTTATAGTTTTTATTTTATTTAGAAAGTTTGTGTTAGACTGTTTAGTGTTGCTTATGCTTACAGTTTATTAGGCAGAAATAATTTAAATAAGTTGAAAAAACCTTGAAAAATCTAGAAATCCTCTAGATGTTGATTTGTGATTATGTATAACCTGACTATCAAAAAGCTGATTAGCAGATGAATGACCAAGTCCGCACATATTTGTTAGTAGTAGTTGTAGTAAGAGGCAAGTGAGGACTTGGATTTTGCATTGCTGTGCCTTTTTAGTTCTCATCTGATTTCTGAAACAAAACATCATCCTCTGCTCATCTTCAGGTTGCAAACATGATAAGGTTTCTAGTGGATAGCTACAATAAGCCAGTTCCAGCAATTTTGGAGATTCCTTCCAAGGACCATCCTTATGATCCTACACACGATTCTGTTCTTTCACAAGTGAAGTACCTCTTCTCTGCTGAATCAGTGGCATCTGGGAGGCGATAAACTCTCACCTACATAGTTGATTTGTTTCTGCCCATTGTTATATCTTGTTTCAGCACCATTTCCCTTGAGTTGCGTATCGTGTCCTGAATCATTTATCTTTTTGCACTTGAGTTGTTTGTTTTCTTTTTCTTTTTTTCATGAAACTTGTTTAAGATGCTGCGTAGCTGTTGGTCTTGATTGTAATTTCAAATAAGCTATATTTATGAAATCATTTATTGGAAATTTATATCCATAGTGAAAATTGATTCAAATGTCATATGTTTGATACATGTTTCACCCCAAGTCACTACTCAGAAGCAGCAAATTGGCATAATCTCTAATCCTGAGTAAGATTTGTGATGACATGGACATCGGTATGCTTATTGTGTGAGATAAATTTTATGAAATTAATCTCTACTACTTAATTCAAACTATGAATTTGAAAAATTATTTTTTAAAACTGTGTGTGTTTATTTCATTTAAATTATTAATCAGTATCTTTAACACAATGTTACATATGTTGACTCACTCGATTAGTTGAAAGCTTTTATTCATTTTGCCCATAATAAATAGATATTGACATACCATGTAACAAAATAAGTTGTTTTAAAAATATTTAAGAACATCAATAGTATGAACCTAGAAATTTTATTTGGAAATATCGATTTACATTTATTTATATATGGCCTCTACACTAATACAAATTCAATCTTTACTATAAAACACACTATTCAAAAATTTTGTCATGAATTTTAGTAAGATACATTAATTTATGACTTAGATTCATTTGCATATGCCTCCACATTTATACTAGTTTAATCTTTATCGCATAAGATAATATCCAGAAAAATTTGGATAGTTGTTATATCTGGAATGGTAAACTCTCTCTTTAATAAAACATAGAGTAAAAATCAATTGTGACAAATTATTATTTTTAGATTCAATTAAATTAAACAAATTATGTATATAAAAATATTTTTAAATCTGGTCAGAAAAATATTAATGAATTAATGCCAATGATTTAACGAATAATTATTCAAAATTGATAATTTTAAAGATGAAAGAGGGTAAAATACTAAAATGACACAAACCCTATTATCTTAATTCATACTTTCTTTTGTTTTTTTGGATAAATTACACTCATTTCCCTTGAAATTTAAAGAAAATACAGACAGTCTTACACTTTTGACATAATTACAGTAATATCCCTTTTAGTATGATTAAAACTTCTGAAACTAAAGTCAATAGTAAGTAGAGCTTTCTTCATTCCCGGTCAAAAAGGGGGAGAGTTTGGTTCCTGCATGGACATTGATGACACATGGATATTGATGGTATATTTTGTTGATGGTAAATGGATATTGATGGTATATTTTGTTTTGTTTTGTTCTTTTGGTTCTGACACATGGATATTTTGATATTTTGTTCCGTTGGTTCTATTGAATGGATACATTTTGCTATATTCTTATATAGTTCCACAAGTTTTGGTTTTTCTGGCATGTTGCTAGTCTTTTCACAGGTGAATGTTGGATGATGAATTGGATTGATGGATCGATATATGGCAAGATTGGAAAGCGTGTGTGTTTATAGAGTTGTTTTGAGTGTTTTAGTATTTGTTTTTTCATTTTGTCTAGTGCGTGTGTTTAAGGACATTTGTTTAGAAAAGTTTTGTCCGGGAATTGACAAAGGGGGAGATTGTTAGGTCCCTATGTTGTCAAATCCGGAGACAAAACCTTGTGTTGATTCAAAAGTATTTTTTTGTGTTTTTGTTCTGTCCGCTCGAGCGGAGACTTTTGAGCTCGAGCGTATATTAGCAGGTCTCAGTATTTTGACAGGGCAAGCACAGATACTGGTGGGTGCGATTTTCCGCTCGAGCGGATCATCATACGCTCGAGCGCATCTCAGCTTATTCATACGCCGTTTTTGGTCAGTCCGCTCGAGCGGGCTGTTGTGAGCTCGAGCGGAGATCGCGGATCCAGTTTTCTATTTAAAGCTGCTAAGGGTGTTTTTGTGATGCACGTTTTCCTAGATCTGATCAAAACAAACTAGGGTTGTGTTTATAGTCTTCTTTGGAGATTTTTGATCGTTTTCCTTGATGTTCGAAAGAGAGTTCTGAACTTATGCATTGAAATTCATACATCAAGGAGGTTGCTTCTTAAGTTTCAAGTGAGTTCTCTTCGGTGGATTCCGAAGATCAAAGTGTAGGATTCAAAAGGCGTTTGAGTCTACGCAGTCGTTAATTCGACAAGTGAAGTTGTGGTGTGGAATCAACTTCAGAATCAATTCCGTGACGAAGGTGTGGTGAAAAGAGTTACAGAAGATTCAGAGACAAATTGACTAGGGTTGGGTAATTTGTAAGATTTCTTTGTAATCTTTTCTTTCTTCAGTAGTGGATTGATAGTGGCGGTTCGCCCGTGGTTTTTGATTACAATTGAAGGTTCTTCAATTGTGGTTTTTTCCACGTAAAAAATCGTTTGTGTTGATTTATTGTTTTCTCAAAAACAAACAAACTAAAATCACTCTCGTAAGTGTTTGATGATTTTAGGTTGAGTGTTTTGAATTTATTGGGTTTTGGAATTAGTTAATCTTGATCTAATCACAATTCACATAGGATTTTCAATTTTCTTTTCCAGTCTTTTACATTTCCAGTCTTTAAATACCTGTTCTTTAAATACCTGCACTTTAAATACCCGCACTGCACTTCGATTCATAGGAGTAGCTTCAAGTAGATTCAAGTAGATTGCTGTTGTAAACCTCTCCGAGACTGAGTTCGGACCATTGTAAGTGCTCATTTTTATGAAATACTTCAATTGTTCTTCATATTACTGTTATTTTTTAATTGCTCCTAAGTCAAGCCACCAGTAAAAGTCCTCTTCATTGAGGCTGAAAAGAACTAAAACACAATCGTCTGATAATTGGTTGGCAATCACAATTTCTGTAAGGACTGATTGATCCTTGCTGGCACGCTCACATTCACAAAAATACCCTTCGAAAAGCCAAAAAGCCAACAATAGTATAATAAATACTCTTAAAGTGATACCTTCCATTCACATAATTAAAAAGAACCAGATAGTTAAACATGCGTTACATGAACCCAAATTAGATTGATTCTAAATTATGGCTCTTGAATTAAATTTCCACCCATGAACCAAACATGCCCCAAATATATACAAAACTAAACTTAATAAATTTTATCTCAATGATTCTAACATCAAATCTCAATACAAATTCTGCTATAAAATAAACTGAACACTGTTCAATTCGTAAATTTTCAGAAAATAAAGACTCATGCATAAACACTTCATAAAATTTTCATAATGTTTGAGCTATACAACTATTTTTAAAATTTTACAAAAATAAAATCTTCAACTCGAGAGACACAAATTTCACCCTGAACTTGTGTAACAAATTAAAAACTGTGTTTTAATTATAATAAACCCAATTACAAATGATCTTTTAATATTATATATATAGATATATAGATATCACTAACCACGTGGTGCAATAACCATCCAATTAAATTATGTAATGATTTATAAATATTAAAAAAAAAATCCAGTCATTACAACTATTCACCGAATGAATCCACCGAAATTGAATTGACAATCTGCAACACTATACGAACAACAATACACTTTGTTGTCCCTTAGTCTCCCAAAGCACACTATCACCAATTTCCACCCATCAGATTTTGAGAAACAACATACTAGCTGCCAATAACTATTGAGTAAATGACCAGTGACACTCTCAACACTAAACTATAGTGAATCAAATGGATCTCAAATTGTCAAATGAAAATGTCATTTTTTTTTTTAACAAATTGCCAAATGAAAAAGTCATTTTTGGGCCTTATTTTTTTTTGATCAGCAAAGAAAAATTTCATTAATCAATATGAAATTAAAGGTACAGGAAGATGAAATGCACTGAGAGAGATTCGGAAGGTACAAAATACCCCTACTACTGCTACTCGCAACCATACAACCAACCCCTTGGCCTCACGATATTTTTTTTTTAAACATAAAAGTTAAGAAGGACTTAACAGAAATTAAAATATATGATTCCCCACAAAATCAACCCACCAAAAAACCCAAACAGCTCTAGCAATACCTCTAAACAACAAACTAAAAAAACTATTCTAACACCCAAGTTGCACTCCCAAGGCCAACCACCCACGCCTATGAAGCTGAATATTTTATTTGCCCAAGTTCAATAGCCCAAGACCTACGTTGTTACACTGCTTCACACCCATGCTGCTACACACCTGCTACACTGCTACACTCCCATGCTACACAGCTACAACACTGCTACACTCCAGACAACACTGCTACACTCCCATGCTGTTACACACCTGCTGCTACACTCCCTACACCCACGCCTATGATGCTGCACTCCCAAGGCCAACCACCCACCTGAACACAGCTCATACACCACGCCAAGACAGCTCATACACAATGTTGCTGTCCACCCCACCGGAAAACTCCATAGCCAACGACCAATGACCAAGGCCACACCACCGGAATCAACCAAGGCCACACCTCCATTGGTTAACCCAAACTCACCCACGCCCCCCTGTCCAACCCCTTGCTGGCCAACTACTCCGAAATGTCCACCTTTGTGCCGACTCCTCCCTTCACACAACCGCTACAAAACTCGGAAGATGACGACCCAAACGCCGATCAACCGCTGAGACACCTCCAAACATCTGGACGAAGATCACCCCTCAAACTCCCACTCGAAGAGGAGCGCTCGAATGAACACCAGACAGAACTATGGCCGAAGCAGAACGACACCCAAGATACCCCAAACAAAGCATCGATACTACTACATAATTCTGAACCATAGTTCACCCCTCAAGCTCCGACTCGCGAAAGAGCGCACGAATGAAGATCCTAACCACATTTGGACGTCCTCAAGCCAGTCCAAACCAACCTCCTCCTCTATAATGACCCTTAATCCAGGCATTCCTTGATGATAACAACACACCACGACTCTGCAGCAGCCCACAAAGCATACCAAGGCGGGAAAATAATGGGGGAAATCAAGTTTATTAAAGGAAATTAACAAACAAACACAAGAAAGAACTGGGCCAGCCAACCACCATAGCCGAAGGCGGCGGCCGGCCGGCCCAAAATGAGGCCCGGGGAGGAGGTTTTCACAGAGAGAAAGAGAGGTTTTCAGAAAGAGAGATGAGACGGTTTTCTAGATTCTGTGTAATGACAAAGAATCAAGGTCCTTTTCAACAATATTTGGGATGTTGTGGGGTGGTTATTTTTGGGCCTTATTAACATGTGAGATGCAGAGAGAAAGTGCATGCATGGCCAAATTAATGTTGGCAATTGCAAATTTACGCTTCGTTGTTTGGGTAGAAAATATTTTTCTATGTTTAGTAATGGTGGTAGTGGTAGAATGAAGGTAGAGGTAGAGCTAGTAGCATGGTGGTGGGGTGGCGGTGACGGTGATAGCGACGATGACGGTGGTGGTGGCCGTGGTGATGATGGTGTGGTGGTGGAGGTGAGAGTAGCGGTGGTAGTATAGTGACATTAATAAGACTATTCGGAAAATATATTCTGCCTTTTAAAAGTGAAAACATTTCATATCTAAATAAGCTTGTTTTTTGTTGATAATAAAAAATATTTTTCATTGATTTTTGTTTTCTATTATTCCAAACACGAGAAAATACAAACCAAGCAAAAGGTTTCAATCCAAGATCTTCAGTATGGGAAACAATATCTTTACTAATTAAATAGCACACAACATATTTATTTTTAAATCAAAATTAAAATTTATATTTTACAAATTTAACAGTACACTCATCAAGTAGACACACACCTACTAGCATATATATACATTCTAACCTTTGATATTGTATCTGCAACTTCTCAGGATTGTGTAATGCATCAGCTTGACCAAAATTCGCCATGGCCCCAAAAGCTACGCCGCTTAGATCAAATTGAAATGCACTGCAACGACATCACACAAATCAAAGATTGCTATAGTTACTGAATTCCCTGAGCACATTGGATTTGACATGCATGTACCCAGATATATTTTGAAAATCATATATATGCTTATTAGATTGCTTCAATTAATTTCCGAAAACAATGAAAAAAGAAATGAAAACAATGAAAACATTTTCCGTGTTTCTCAATTTTAATGGGAAAGGATTCTCTCCCCGTCCACAGTTTTACTAGAGGGCTGTTATTGAGGTTCATAGAGCCACCGCATATCCTATTTTGATAATTTAAAAAAAAAAAATAGATTCATTATATTCATAACTATATGATTTCATTATATTTATTTAAAAAAACAAATGACAAGTATAATTTTGAAATTGTCCATCATTTTTTTAAGGACCAATATGAAAACAATTATATGGATATAAATATGGCATTAATCTGAATTTAATCCTAAATGATCTACACAAAAAAAATTTACAAATTGTACGATTTAGATAATCAAAATAAGACCTATAATATATCTTACGAACTGATTATCACACTTGTAAGTCAACAGTAAATTAGACAGAACTCCTTCCCATATTAATAATAGAAAGCAAAAACATAAAAGAGGGCTTATTTTCTTCAAATTTTAAGAGAGACCTATGTAATTTACTCTAAACTATATAGCCAAAAACATATTGATGTTGACTGTACAACCAAAAACATATTTGTTTTATTCATTATTTGAGATGACAGATGGAGAGGAATAGAGTTGTTTAGTTGTAAAGGGTGAGCTATCCGGTAAGTGTGAACAAGAAAAAAATAGGGGTTTAGTTGTACAATTTAAAATTTCTAAATTCTTAAATTATTATTTTTATCCATTAAATTAAATTTTCGCTATTGTTGATTTGCGGATATTGTCTCTAATTAGACCATATGAATTGAAATAAGAAACAATAAATGGATGCTACTATGAAGTAAAAAACCGTGACTATAGTTTACAGTATAAGAAAATATGATTTTTTTTTTAAAAAAAATTCATTGAATATAACAAAATATGAAAATGTATTGAATTTTAATATATATATATATATATTTGTATTTTTTGTATTTGGTGAATTTTTTATTTTTTTTTCCACAAATATGATACTTTTTAAGTGTATCTAAATTAGATGTATTTAAGAAATAAAAATTTTGCATAGAATATTAAAAAAAATTCACTGAAAAAAAAAAAAAAAAAAAACTCAATTTTTTGAAAAGTGAATTAAACCAAACAAGGTAAAGATATTATTTTTTCATCCATACAACTAATGAATTGTTGATAAAAATAAGCTAAGTGTTAACCCACTGTAATTAGGAGAGGTCGGTGTAAATTTACCTAACCAAGCACTCATTGTCTTTTTCATTATTTGGAGTAGAGAGAAATATGGGTGTTTGGTTGTCTAAATTGTAAAATTATTTTATTAACCATTAGATTAGATTTTTAGCATTAATGATTTGGACTAATTGTCTCCAATCGGACCATATGAACTGAAATTATCAACAATAAAGACTAAATAGATGCAATTAATAATTTAAAAATAAAGTAGAAAAAGTGACTATAGTTTAGGGTATAAAAGTAAATTTTTTTTAAAAAAAGACCTATTAAAAAAGTGTCCAAGTCTTGTACCTTTTTGAATTGTAGAGTCAATAACAAACCTTTATTTTCACTGCTCATTTATTACGTACATGATTTTATTTTTTTAATTTTTCGCATGATGATTTCCAATCAAGGGCTTTGTATAAACATCAAAGGAAATAAACTAGCTTTATTATGTATGACACAAATAAACTGCTAAGAAGCTAAAAACAGACTAGATAACAACCATAACCAAGCCGTAGTTTTTCATGATGAAGCAAAAGAATGCAAAAATTCATTGTAATACTTACCAAAGGACACCACTTGCATTCACTGATTTCACCTTCCTCTGTTCCTGTGAGCATGCTTTTTAAATCTCTTTCTACTTTCGTTTCGTTCACCTTCAATGATCCTCACAAGCCATTGAGGTTTTCCTCTAGAGAACATAAGATATCCCATAACAAGTCCCCATACCAGCCCACATCCATAACCCGGCAATATGACATACCAATTGAATCCACTTGAAGAATACGTATTGTCTTCTTGTTGTGGTGTGCTAGGGTCGCTGCATGTATTTGACAATGGAGGTCCACATAATGCCAAGTTACCAATGTAGGAATCATTTAAAAATGTATCAAATTGGTTGCCTTGTGGTATCGGTCCTATTAGTTGATTCTGTGAAAGGTTTAAGACTTCAAGGGATTTCAAATTCTTTAGTTGTTGAGGGATCTCCCCAATGAGTTTGTTGGAAGAGAGGTCTAACCATTCGAGCATTGTCAAATTAACAAGAGATGTTGGTATATGACCTGTAAGGCTATTGTGAGACAAGTTGAGCCCGCGGATTGAATTTAACTTTCCAATGATCTGTGGAATCTGACCTTCGAAATTGTTTTTCGATAAATCAATTACAGTGAAAATGGTTGGGACTTTTTCCATTTCTATGGTTGATCCTTTGATTACCATAGTCAAACAATCATGATAATGATATGGATACTGATATAAAGAATCAACACCGGAGTTCTTGATGTATTGCAATTTATAATTGGCTTCTATGACATTCATCATTGCATTGAAATTCTTGAAATATGTTTTTGGCAGTGGACCAATAAAATAATTGTCTGACAAATCCACAACTCTCAAGTTAAGGAAGGGAAATTTGGCTTTGGAAGCTGGCATAGGTCCATGGAATTTGTTAGATCTCAAACTTAGAACTTGCAGCCAGCGTAGTTTTTCCAACCAAAATGGAAATTTGTCAGAGAACTTGTTACATCCAAGATCTACCACTCATAGCATTTTGCAATTGACTAAAGATTTTGGTACTGTACCCTCAAATCCATTTCCATTAAGGTCAATAATTTCGAAGGAATTTCCCTTTACAAATGTATTAGGAATGGTGCCAGAAAAATTATTTTTCCGTAGATCGAGCACAGAGAAATATGTGCTGAAGTTTCCTAAACATTGTGGAATAGAACCATTAAAGCTATTACTAGATAGGATAAGTAATCGAAGGGAAACTGCATGACAGAGCATGTCTAGCTCACCACTGAAGTTATTTGATGAAAGAATGAGACTAGTAAGGTTCACGAGTTTGAAGGTTGAACTTGGAAACCTACCATATAGGTTGTTATTGCTCAAATCAATAACAATTAAATCAGTGGATTTGAACTCTTTTACACGGCCAGTCAATTTGTTATTACTGAGGTTGAAGTAATACAATGCTGGTAAGCTAAAGACCCTAGATGGAAGAGGTCCTGTTAGCTGATTATTCGACAAATCTAACACAAGAAGTGATGTTAGGTTTGCAACCAATGATGGGAATGGACTGTTGGATTTATTTTTCTAGTGTGGCCCAATAGCCTACATATTTTCTACATGTTTTAATTTATTTGGACTCCACAAATAGATAAAGCCAATATTTTGAGATCAAGTTCAGTAAATAGAATTTTAATATAATTACTCTTCTAAGATAAGAAGAAAACCTTGATGGATTAGGAATTCTTCTAATAGAGTTTATCTGGCCCTCTTCTCTCCTCTATATAAGGATGAGTGACTCCCCTTTCATATCATGAGTATTATTTTCATCACTCTAAATTTTATAGTCATCCTAATAAAGTGAGAGACAGAGAGAAGAAGGTGAGCCAAGAATTAAAGGTTCAACTATTAGGGGTATTTTCTCAGCTTCTCTAATTCAATGGCTGTCAAAGGTATATTCGTTTTATTCTTGAGTTGTATTGAATTCAAGATCCTGTAAAATTTAATTCCGCATTATTATTATGGTTACATGTCTTATTAAATCTTACATGTGGTATCAAAGCTTTAGTTTGTCAATCAATACACCTTGGAATAATAATATATTTATGAATATTGTTATTATAGTTATAATTATTCATAACAACATATTTTTTGTTCATAAGGTTTGAACTCTCGGCATGTGTTGGTTATCTTGAATATACGCTGTATGTTCAACCTTGTAAGCTGCATGCCATATTTATTAGGCAGTGTCTGAATGGTACATCTAATCTCTTTCATATTCATTATGCATCAAAGAAACTCTTTTTGTGTTATTAAAAGTCAAAGGTTGTGTGAAAGAAGATTTCATTCCTGATTTCTAAATCGTAACTAAATATGCACATCATGGACTCCCTCACTCACTTTGTTTTGTGATATGTTAGGTGCAAACTTTTATGTAATTCTATATGCTGTTCATATGCATGTTTTGATTTATTATCAATTTTAGTGATAATAATTTTTATAATCATCATAATATGTTATTGAATTAAGTGTATTGCTTGCCGTTATGATAAAGTGCATAGATTAAAAGCAATTTTAGAATTTTGCTGAATCAATTTTGCTGAATCGTTCGGACTATTAAATAAATATATTTATTTGATTGTATCACATTAGAGGATTATGTTTTTGCTTTGTTTAAATTATGCACACTTATTGTCTATTATTGTTAAATATTTATATATTTTCATGATTTAAAATTGATATCATGATATAATTTTATGACATTGAATATTAAATATTAAAATGGTTAATTCATATTAGGTGTAATTCTTATTGATGATGCTGTCCGTCTCGGGTGGATGGGTCGGGCTGATCCAGGCTCTTCAAGTTCCGGTTTGGGGTGGTGATTCCGTCAAATGACCTGCATGCAAGTCCAAAGGGGAACGGGGCAGTCCCCAGTGAACCCTCCAGCGTGAGAATTAGTAGAGGAAGAGGTTAATGTAGAGAGAGAGATGGAGAGATAAAAAACTTAACCTTTTTCTTGTCTTGCTCTTCTTGCTTATATCCTTTGGTAATCATTTCATTATTCCTTGTGACGTGCCCCCTTCCGCCGAAAGCCTGTGCCGTAGCTTACCTTGTTCAGGGTGAGGGGGCTCTGTTCCGACGGGGAGGTGTTGTCGTAATAAATGCTGTGATGGGATGCATTAATGGTGATGTGTTGTGGTAATAAATCTGCAGATCTTTGTCTGCTGATGTGGACCGTGTTCCACCTGCCATGTGTCCGAATGCCATTGGCCCCCCATGCCTAGATGGCCTCCAGCTGTCCTGGGCTTTGCCAACCGGGTTATGCTATCGGTCCTAGGCGATGGGTTCGGGGTGGTTTGCTGTGGGTCTTCAAATAAAGTAACTATTAATAAGTAATTGACAATACAAAATAATAATAGATAATCTGCAATATATAATATTTCTCTTTTTAAAAGGTATCATTTGTTTATATTAATTTCTTAATAATTATCTTCAAATAAAGTAACTATTAATAAGTAATTGACAATACAAAATAATAATAGATAATCTGCAATATATAATATTTCTCTTTTTAAAAGGTATCATTTGTTTATATTAATTTCTTAATAATTATCTTCAAATAAAGTAACTATTAATAAGTAATTGACAATACAAAATAATAATAGATAATCTGCAATATATAATATTTCTCTTTTTAAAAGGTATCATTTGTTTATATTAATTTCTTAATAATTATCTTCAAATAAAGTAACTATTAATAAGTAATTGACAATACAAAATAATAATAGATAATCTGCAATATATAATATTTCTCTTTTTAAAAGGTATCATTTGTTTATATTAATTTCTTAATAATTATCTTCAAATAAAGTAACTATTAATAAGTAATTGACAATACAAAATAATAATAGATAATCTGCAATATATAATATTTCTCTTTTTAAAAGGTATCATTTGTTTATATTAATTTCTTAATAATTATCTTCAAATAAAGTAACTATTAATAAGTAATTGACAATACAAAATAATAATAGATAATCTGCAATATATAATATTTCTCTTTTTAAAAGGTATCATTTGTTTATATTAATTTCTTAATAATTATCTTCAAATAAAGTAACTATTAATAAGTAATTGACAATACAAAATAATAATAGATAATCTGCAATATATAATATTTCTCTTTTTAAAAGGTATCATTTGTTTATATTAATTTCTTAATAATTATCTTCAAATAAAGTAACTATTAATAAGTAATTGACAATACAAAATAATAATAGATAATCTGCAATATATAATATTTCTCTTTTTAAAAGGTATCATTTGTTTATATTAATTTCTTAATAATTATCTTCAAATAAAGTAACTATTAATAAGTAATTGACAATACAAAATAATAATAGATAATCTGCAATATATAATATTTCTCTTTTTAAAAGGTATCATTTGTTTATATTAATTTCTTAATAATTATCTTCAAATAAAGTAACTATTAATAAGTAATTGACAATACAAAATAATAATAGATAATCTATAGTATATAACATTTCTCTTTTTAAAAGGTATCATTTGTTTATATTAATTTCTTAATAATTATCTTCAAATAAAGTAACTATTAATAAGTATTTGGCAGCACAAAATAATAATAGATAATCTGCAATATATAACATTTCTCTTTTTAAAAGGTATCATTTGTTTATATTAATTTCTTAATAATTATCTTCAAATAAAGTAACTATTAATAAGTATTTGGCAGCACAAAATAATAATAGATAATCTGCAATATATAACATTTCTCTTTTTAAAAGGTATCATTTGTTTATATTAATTTCTTAATAATTATCTTCAAATAAAGTAACTATTAATAAGTATTTGGCAACACAAAATGATAATAGATAATCTGCAATATATAACATTTCTCTTTTTAAAAGGTATCATTTGTTTATATTAATTTCTTAATAATTATCTTCAAATAAAGTAACTATTAATAAGTATTTGGCAACACAAAATGATAATAGATAATCTGCAATATATAACATTTCTCTTTTTAAAAGGTATCATTTGTTTATATTAATTTCTTAATAATTATCTTCAAATAAAGTAACTATTAATAAGTATTTGGCAACACAAAATGATAATAGATAATCTGCAATATATAACTTTTCTCTTTTTAAAAGGTATCATTTGTTTATATTAATTTCTTAATAATTATCTTCAAATAAAGTAACTATTAATAAGTATTTGGCAACACAAAATGATAATAGATAATCTGCAATATATAACTTTTCTCTTTTTAAAAGGTATCATTTGTTTATATTAATTTCTTAATAATTATCTTCAAATAAAGTAACTATTAATAAGTATTTGGCAACACAAAATGATAATAGATAATCTGCAATATATAACTTTTCTCTTTTTAAAAGGTATCATTTGTTTATATTAATTTCTTAATAATTATCTTCAAATAAAGTAACTATTAATAAGTATTTGGCAACACAAAATGATAATAGATAATCTGCAATATATAACTTTTCTCTTTTTAAAAGGTATCATTTGTTTATATTAATTTCTTAATAATTATCTTCAAATAAAGTAACTATTAATAAGTATTTGGCAACACAAAATGATAATAGATAATCTGCAATATATAACTTTTCTCTTTTTAAAAGGTATCATTTGTTTATATTAATTTCTTAATAATTATCTTCAAATAAAGTAACTATTAAT